ATACTTGTATTTTTTTTTATCAAATTTTTCTTTTTATTACTCTTAGATCTACCTTCCACGCCTGTGAATTGGTGGAATTAAATTGGCGGGTTGTGAACTCTCCGAAAAAATGTAAAAAAAACAGAATATCCGGGGTTAGAGTAGGCGCGATTACCTGGAGGACTGCCGTGGTGTTTAAATGCCTATACGGAGCGCCGGCTATGGGCATTATATTATTATGTCCAGAGGGCATAAAAATAAGAGCACAATTTCGAGGCCGAGAGGAATGTGTCTTTTGGCATCTCTATTTCTCTTCGCGCTATACAATATTGGCTCTCGTACATGCTTGAGATTTATCATAAAAAATAAACACCGAGCTGAAAAAAAAAAACGACTTGCTCAAAACGTTGATGTTCTCTTTTATATATATTGAAAATCTTACTTGACGGCCTGCGGGCATCAACTATACCGTATAGAATGCTCGATATAACCGCGTTGACTGTGCGGCAAGTTTTCCCTAAATCTGCATCGTTACTACGGATGTCTTATTATTAAAATGTCAAAGAAACAAATTTATACGGTAGTATATTTTATCCATAATTAAATACCGTTGACAACTGAAGCGGGGATATTTTTTGTAAAATCTTCTTTTTGTCGATTGTATTTACAAGCATTTCATAACGCATTACAAGACAAATACAAATCTTTTTATAATTTTCGCATACCCTTATCTTTAAAAAGCGGCTAAAACAATTTAATGACACCGAGACAGTTCTTTGGGCCAACTACCTGACAATCTTACCAGCCACTAAACCGACTGCCGATTAGTCTAGTTCTAGGAACTAAACGTTTTTAAAAAATCCCCCCTAGATATCCGGGACGACTCCCGAGTGTTTTATATATGAACCAAATATGTTATGGAGGTTTTTTTTCTATTGCATACACACTGGTCGAATCGCAACGTAATCGATTTACAAAAGGCCATTCCGTTGTTTGCCACTTAGCCGCTGGATTAATCGACCGAGCCAGATCGTATCGGACAATGTAATGCGCGTAACCGACACAAGTTGGGCGAGGGAGGGAGATAAATCGTCGTCAAATATTTAACATCCGGCCGAGAGAGTGGCAATAGGCTGTGAGACCTTTGAAATAATAAGGTCTATATATATATAATATATAGGTACCTTAAGTACATGGGACACGGAAGTACAGCTGCGGAACAGGGACAAGCTCGTGTACCCTTTAATTGTGAACCGCTTCTGGGATAGGAGATTGTATTCTATATATATATATAGAATACAATATATATATGTATAGCGGGTGGCAGTAGAGGAAGTAAGTATGAAAGAGAAAGATAGAGAGAGAAGGATTTATCGCAGGTTTATTTTGCACCCGTCGCTTAACCTCCGAGGGCCAATAACGGCTTACCATTTACCATTGGTCCCGCGTAGCCAATCCGAATCAATTACGTGATTTCGTTACACTATAAACCCGTCTATACTACCGCCGCCGTCGTTTTGCGGTTTACAATTCCAAATCCAATCCTATATAATTTTGTCGGGGCTAGTACAATGTACAATGTGTACGGTGTTTGTCTTTATTTTTCTCGGCGAACACACAAAACCGCTGCACGCTCGTGGCCCGGCGATAAAAACCGACCATAGTTTTTTTATTCCCATGATTTTTTTTTTGTTTTTGTTTACCCGCCCGCAATAAAGAAATAACGTGACTTATGATTTCATTTTGTATCCCTCGCGTCGACCTGGTCAGCAGAGCAAACACAACAAATTCGATTGCGCCAAACCGACTGCGGGGCAAAGTATAAAAATAACGAAAAGATATTATATATAATCCGTTGGCTACGGACTGGAGTTCGGCCAAGGGGACTTTCGTTAACCGAGTGTACTTATATATGGGATTTTTTTTTTTATGTTTTCGTTTAACAGAACGAACGTGGCGGTTGCACCTACTCGACCGCCTTAAGGGTACAACCGAGTGGATATTATTATTACGGTGTGCCGGTGCTGAGAGTGAAAGCGAGAATAATAACCAATAACGCAACTTTTTCGTTTAGGTCATTAAAGTAACGCGAACGAATTATATCGATTTAAAAAGTTCTTATCGCGGTAACTCTTCCCCCCCCTCCGTCGAGCACCGCGGAACGAATCGACGAAACTTTTTCGCTTTTTATACACACCACGTTAGGATGTCGGCAAGAAGCGAAGAGAAAATATTTTTTTTTCTTTTACCCTTTTTTTTCACTTGGTTCGTTTTAATTTATTTTATCTTTTTTTAATAGTAGTTTGTTGTTTTTATATTAAAAAAAAAACACTTAACTTTCTTCTTAAATACTTCGGCGACGGACGACTTACGACATAAAGTTTTCTGCTAACGTAAGGTGAACGAAGACGTCGGTTGGTGTATTTATTTTGATGATAGTGTCGCCGGTAGCGCTTTGACGGGCTTGTAATGGAAACGGTGTACATGTGCTAGTGATCTTAATACAGGGTCATCTTATCAGGAAACGACATAAATCATGTCGGCCCGAGGTTTTCCCCGAGAGAGGTCTAGAGGCCAGGCGCATACGCGGTCGGTTGTGTCGAAATTTAAAGATTTCCCCTTCGCTTCCCTCACCTCGTGCGTACCTATCCATTCTCGGGCCGGACCGATGTGTCTTTTGGTTAAACCGCATTACATACATGTGTGTCTAATTTCTCGGTTGACAGAAATCATTTAGCGATTGCGATGCGCGTACACCACAAGTACACTGAGCCCAGTAACACTACTGTACAACCGTCTGGAGACCGGCCAAGTGCGGCACAGCAGCAGCCGTACAACATAATCGATAGAGCACACGTCTATTCCTCCTTAAACGTCCGAACAACAATAAGTTCACTGCAAACGCCGACCAAGGCGAACGTTGTACCGAAATACCGTTATATTATTGTTAATTGAACGACCGCGTTTGTTTTTGAGAACAGTTTAAATCTATGGCCGATTTTGTAGCGTGAAAAAAAACAAAATTAACACGTCATATTATTGTACCAATTTGAACATCCTATTTGTGTAATAAACTTAACGGTATTCTGGTGTAAATTGGCTTGAAGTCGGTCGGTCAATTAAGATAGGTCTGTAGAGGCGTCCACTAAGCCGGATAACAACCAAGAGAGGATGAAGAACCCACTTGGCGCAGTTCACCTGCGATCAGTAAAAGTGTTTAACCAAGGACCAGACTATTAAGAGGGTGGTCTTTTGCCGGGAACACAAAATGTTTACAATAAAAAGAAAGGGTTTTCGATTAAAAGGACTTGATAGGATCAAATGCCCCTACCGCGGGCAAAATAAACAAATGCTGCAGCTGCTTTTGTATAATATCAAAGAATAACACGAAGGTGTTACTTAAGTAAGCGTCTGGGTATTTATAATAATTCGTTGCCGACTCGATCAATATGTTAATTTAGTTTGTACGCTTGCATGTTTTAACGTTGGCTTATAAACGTAACTGACACAAGTATTTTCAGGTGCGGAGTCGATATCAGGGATATCAGACTAAATAAATTATTTTTGTAGTACAAACGGTTCTTAATTAATTTCTAACGTTTGCCTTAATTATAAAAAAAACGTAAGAAAAAAAATTGCGAGTTTCATCGTCTTACAGACCAACGATAAATTATCGAGAAAGCTTACTGCGCCCTAATCGTGGTTCAAATAAATAAGGTAAAGTGTACCATAAAAGTTTTTATATATGGGAATGGAAATGTATTCACTTGAATGAATCGTGTAAAATTTAACCCGTACATCCTACTGTCTTCTACATGTGCTTGACGCCTTAAACCGATCTCTCACCGACCAGAGATTTCAACAGATGATATGCGTATTCTTAAGTTGTATTCGTAGCCTATTCGTTGTATAGGTAGAATATAACTTAATGCGACGTTATCGATGGCATTAGCGTACGTTTAAGTTTAACGAGTAAGAGCAGTTTATTAAGTATTAATTTTACAAGATAGAAGTTTAAAATATTATATTATATATTCAAAAAAAAAATAACCCAACCATAAAAATTTGAATCCATTATTTCCAAGAATTATACATTTCCTGGTCATTTTTTTTTTTTTTATACAGAACTTTGTTTCTATAAAGAATATACTAATCGAATCTTTGCACATTTCTATCAGTATAATACATATTAAATAGGTCGTAGTGTTTTAGTATAGTTTGGGTCATGCACAATTTTGGACGAACGGACACCTAGATCGTTGATGATCTAGATGTACTTCTCGAAATCCACTCTTCCTTAAACAGTTAAACCACCATCATGCGTCCCACTGTGCCAACTGCGTTCCGATTTGTTAGGTTTCGATGTTGTCGGAGGAAACCGAAAGTAGACGTTATATAATATATTTAATAGAGACAATAGCTGTTTACATTGTCTACAGTTCTTCTGCGTTTACGCGTTTTAACGCTCAGAGAACTAACGGCGCAGCGCGCTTTTAAACAGCAACGCTGCCGACAAACTGTTGAATAAATATTTGTTTTATATCAACCGAAAAATTATACCCGACCCGCTGGTATTTGTTTGCTCTTATATTATAATAATCGTGTTTGCCGACGGCGGATGGCGCGGCACTTGTGCCTTTTTACACCTTTACTTTCGGTCCAACGAACCGCCTTTGCATAATAGTTTAACAATATTATCGCGACTTTTTTCACAGACTTGCATACTTCTTATTATTATTGCACTAAACGACGTTTGTTGAGTTCGTACAAGGTTTGACAATCGAAATTAGCGACCGTGTTACAATTTTCATCATTAATTGGCGTTTTTTTCCAATGTTTGCTATACAATGAGGTATTTTAATGAAAAATCACTGAAATCGGATGGAAAACGCTAAAGGGCTTAAATTCGGAATACAAACATAACAAAACGTTTTATAAAAACCAATGAATTATAAGTTATAACATAATAACAGTATACTAAATTACTACCGACTTGGCGAGTATAATAAACGTGTGCTTACCTGGCAAGTCTGGCACGTCCTGGAAGAGTAATTTTGGCCGCAGTCGTACCTGGCCAACACCTCGTTAAACTGGCACGACATGGCGGCCGCCATGCTGTCCATGTGGAACGCTTCGTCCACCTCGGCGGCGCACGACGCGGAGTCGTTGTACGGCCTTTGCACGACCGACTCGACCGTGTGGTGGCAACAGTGTCGGAGCCGGTACCGGGACAGGCGGCCGGGTCGACGGTACGCGTCCAAGTCGTCCGGGCACATTTCCGCCACGGACGTTCGGTGCGCGTATTCAAGGCACTGAAGATTACTATCCTTAACATTAGTATTAACATTATTATTAATATCGGAACTTTCCGGGCACGGAGCCGGGCAACGCGGCGGTCCTGGACCCTCGCTGATCTGTCCGGTACACGCGGCCGCCCGGATCGACACCTGCACCTGTTCGCAATCCCCCCCGTCGGCACCGCTGACGTCGTACTTGGACATGGCGCCGGACACGATTGTCGTTGTCGTTGTTGGTGGCGGCGGCGGCGGCGGTCGCGGTCGCGGTGCCGAGGGTGATGGTGGCGTGACGGCGTCCGTGGCGGCTGCAGCCGTGGCTGCTGAGATTCTGGCGGCGACAGTGGCGGCGGCGACGCCTGCAGTGGCGGCGGCTGGTTTCGCTGATGTGGCAGCGACTGCGGTCATGACCAACACTGCAAGCACCACCTTGCACCGGATGACACAAACGGAACCGCCGCCGGTGCTGGCACCGCGCATTGTACCGCCGGGACCGGCGCCACCACTCTATCACAACCGATCCGGCCGTTTCGCCGAGGGATCTGCATTTTTGCTTCTGGTACCTGCGAACAACCAGTATACATAATATTAAACACGAGACAATTGTTTTGCACGTCTTCCGTTCCCCATCGTTATCTCAAAATGTTCTAAGATGTCCCTCGTGTGCTTTAAAAATCCACCAACGTTTGTAAGGATTCTCGTAGTAAGGAATTATGTACATGGTCAAGTATCTAGAAAATGACAAAAGGATATGGACTGTCTGAAGTACATTAAAGTCGGAATCAAACGATTGTGCGGTCGGTGACTCCGCCCACTAGACCTCGTCTAACGGTGAGAACTTGAGTTTACAGGAAATTCACATCTAAACAGTATCAAATATCATTACCGAGAACGTTGGGGGTATGGTAAAGTAGTTTTCAAATAAAAATTGTTTAACGATATAAAGAAACCTGTCCATGACGGAATCGTACGGGACCGCAAGGAAATTCTACATTAAGTAGTTTTCCGCCTTGCTCAGTATAGTAGGTACACATGCAAGCGAGACCATTCTGGCACATACACTTTTCCGGTATATTAAGAATCCGACAGTTTCATTTTACCAACCTAACCGAATCCCATACATCTTAACTCTCACGTCCGGATTAAATCGGCCGAAGATCAATAAAAGTGATATTCTTTAGAAACCTTATTATTTGAAAGAAAGTGATAAAGACAAATAGGTTTATTGACTCAATAAAATTGTCAAGACTCAAGCATTAAGTCGTCGGACTCATCGAGTGCACTATAGTAATCTCAATAACGATAATAATAAAAGTACAGTGAAAGTAGTATTCGTCAAGTTACGTTACACAAGTTTTAAAAAAATACGGGGGAAAAAATGTAATCTCTACGTTAAAAAAACGTTGTATTTCCGTTAGGAGTTTGCTGTCATTCCGAGCGAAACAAGTTTATTTGAAACAATATTTTATTTACACAAAGGTTTTATGTAAATAATACACAGCTGTCCAAATGACACTAGTAAACTCTCGTGATATTTGCACTTTTGAATAATAAGTTTGTTCGTACGAATCTTGCGCTGTAGTATATAATAAGAACAAAATAGTAGTTTTTTTCTTACGGCCAAAAAAACTCTGAAAACGTTTTGTAATGTAGTATTAGCATAATGTGTTAAACGACAAAAGAGTGTACTAAAAAATTCAAACAAGCATAAGCTTTTGTTGTAAATAAACAATATTGCGTTGAGGCGGAGATGAAAGAAGCAGCAATTTGTTTTAGTAGTTAATTATTTCTAAAAATGTACAACAAATATACTGTGGAACTTGCAGATACAGTGCGGTTTTGCACGGTAGTTGCTTCCGACAATTCGATACTGTATCAATACTGGCAATTTATATTGTATAACAGCTATTTAACCTCGAAAATGGTTAAAAGCAGACGTTAGTATATGATGTGAAACATTATCCGAATTCAAAGGAAACACAAAAATAAACACAAGGCGTCTGTGAGCATTTGCGTTTGACTGCTTTATAGCCACTTGCAGTCCGTTTAAGCGGTCAAACAAATTACATAAAAAAATACACACACAGAAAAAGGAGCCGCCGAAACCTTTTAGTGAGTGTACGTGCAATGTAAGCAATATTAATGCCGTTTAGGAGCTGAATTAAAACAAACACTTCTCTCTCCCAGATTTACTCAGTTGTTCCGTACGTTTACATAATGAACAATATACTTAGGTACTTTTACCAATAAATATATACAAAGATAATTTTCCCACTAAAGCGACCATCAAATATCGACCATTTATACCTCACCCGCTCTCTCATAAATAATTACATATTTATCAAATGGTATAAATTATAAACTATCACGATAATACGAGTATATGTTCGGTAATTCCTGATATACAAAACAAATCATTGCTGATCCATTTCTAATAACATAAATAGTTATTAAGAATATCGACCATTAACAAACTAAAACTGGTCGGTTACGTTGTAGGTTTAATGATCCGAGAAAAATTCTCAAAAAAACTTTAAATTAAAAGTATATTAGTTTTACATCCGGAATTGATATTCCTCATCGCCGCTTATACTTGCTTTTGCACACTCAGCTGTTTGCTTCCCATTACCGACTCCTGAGGGCTAGGTCTTCAGAGTATTTAAAAAAAAGAGGGGGGGAGGGAAATATACATACTAACGAGAACGTTTAAAATAATACACTATTCAGTGCGTTAAAAAAATATATACATCATTTTTGCCAAGACCGTTTCGGGGCTATTGTTCGCATGACAATCGCGGTGTTTGGACCGACTAAAAACGCGCGTCCGTTGTTCGTTTGTTACTTGATATATTATTATTATCAATCTCTATATATATATATAACGTTATATATTATTTGTTTAGCCAAAAAGGGTCGCCCGGCCGGCGAACACGACCAAGGCGGAACGTTTATGATTTCGGTGACGCGCACAAAACCTGCGTGGCCGCCGTCGGCTTACGCCTATCAAGGGTTACTCGCACTTTATCCCGTCTAAAGATGGAAATGGTGAAAAAAAAAACGGAGAAAACCGCCAGCCCTCGCCGCCGACAGGTTCCGATTGCCATCTAGGGTTGTTTTCGGCAAAGCTATTTGCGTGGGTCGTTTGGCCGATACAATATAACGTTGTAACGGCGGCGGCCACTAAAAACGGTTTACATTATACCGGAAACTAGGTCAAGTCTTCGTGCAGCCTGCATCCCGGTGGCGTTTCGTCCACGACCGGTCGGGTCGTCTCCCATAAAAACCGAACATCTAAATATATAATCCGCACGCAGTATTTTCCTGGTAAATAATCACAAAAAAAAAAAAAAAACAATTATGTAATACTAGCCACACGGTGAAAAAAAACCGCCAAATAAATTACACGATTCAAAAATATAATGCCGTCGTTTGTTTTACCATCTGTCGTGGATTTTCGTTTTTCGTTAGGTATACTGCTTTAGTATTTTGGCCCACGGCTTTCGCCTACCTCGGTCCACTTTAAAAATGTTCAATTCTTTTAGACTTTTCGAAATGTATATAAAAAAAAAAAAGAATAAATGGAGAGAATGAGAAAAAAAAATACCGAACGGAATCGACGGCGCTATTGTGAAAAACGTGCAATCTACGCTATCCGAGGTGCTCGTTCGTCAAGAGTACTACTACAATATAGGTAAGTATCGCTTTATCGGCTGATCAGTTTGAGAGCATGACGATGGTGAATCCCTTCCCTCCGTCTTTCCTTTTTGAGCAGTTCGTCTTGTAATAACGGGCAATCCTAGTAATAAAAATCGATCTTACACGGATACCGACTCGCGATAATATGCAAAAGAATTTATAATAATACTACACTGCATTGGCCTAGCCGGCTATATAGTATTTCAACATTGTCCTTAAGCCGCTAATCCTTCAGAAACGTATTAATGAATTTCCCCCCCCCCCCCCCGCCGCTCCATGTTCATATTTAATGCATATTATGCTAATACTACAGCCTCGGTCGGTGAAAAGTATAGATATGATACAGGATTCTAAATCGACAGTGGAAACATGATAATCCGGTCATGTAATAATATAGATCGACCAAAATATAATCGATGAACTCTCACGAATCTAGTTAACTGATATTATACAACACTGATTAGTTAGGCGTTAAAACAGATCTAGTGGTGCCAACACAGTAATTCGATTAATGGTTTGATTTTACATAAAATTAAATTAGTATTTTGAATATTGAATTTAAAAAAACATTTCGGTTAATCTGAAATTGTTGAAAATGAAAATATTTACTGTGCTACTAGTTTTTAATTTCGATGAGTTTATACAAATTATGTAGTTGTAAGAGAAGACTTCAGTCTTATTTTTATACTTTCAGCAAATTTATGAAAATCCAAGTGAAAACCAGTTTGAGGTACTTACCAAAATTCGAATATAAAGTAAATATATTTATTAAAAAAATACAACGTCGAAAAATCGACGTCGGGTCGTTATGATTTTTTAAAGTATTTCCAAATTTGTATACTTTTATATTAATATTATGCGAGGTAAAAAAAACGAAGTGGATAATAAAAAATGATACTTCTAAAGATTTAGGTCGACAGTGGTGTTGTAGCTCGAGAACTAATGGACTGATTTCTATAGCATCACGCACCGCGTGGGCCACAATAGAGGCGCGCAACGCTCTAGTGAGTGCAACTAAAGTTTACTTTGCCGTTAGATGATTGACTTTACGAAATGTCAAACTGTCAATTTATTACCGTCATTTTAAACCTTGTAGAGCGCTTTGTAAGCGGTGGATAATATAGATCGTCTGAGCAACTCGACATTCTCTCTTGCCATTTACATCCAAATTAGTAACAACGTTTTAAAATCATAGCAAGTGCCTGTTGTCCGTACACATATTATATAATATTTTTATCATCTTAATCGGTGCGCTGACGATATTAAATTTTGAACTTTTCATTATATTTGCGGTTTGGTTTTTTTTTTTTTTAATAATAAAACGCGATGGGACTTTTCTCAGAATTAAAGACTCTCGAAATAACGGTAAGGGCCAGCACGGATTTGTGAAATGTTACTACCGTTCTCCAATTGGTAGTAAAAGATTGTTGCGGGTATTTTTTTTTTATATTTTCTGTTACAAGAAGAAAAAGCTACGAAAAAAAAAAATAAAGCTGCGTTATCGATCTTCATTTTTTTTTTTTTAACTAAAAACACAATTTATTTGAAGTGACGACCGTGAGAGCGTATGGTATCGACGGCAGCTTTAGTTGAACAAATAAAACAAAGTTAAGCACTTACCCCGTCCGTTAGATCCGAGCTCGTGCGAAGATAGTGTATGAATTAATTTAAGCCCATCGTTTATGCGATTCACGTGTTTTCGCTGTACAATGATCTGACAGATCGGTTGTACGGAATTCGAGGCGGCGGAGTACATTAAAATATTTGTATAACCGAATATTTGTTGTACGCCGCCAACCCTAAACGCTAATAAGGTTGTCGTGTAGCCGGCCGGCACGCGTTTATACCACCGTTCGACCAACGAGTGCCGTTAACGGGTAGCTTCGTTTCAATTGACACACAGTTGTACATAGTGCAACAATAATAATAATCATATACAAAATAACGCCACGGCGCGACTGTGGCAAAATAATATTCGTCACGAAAATAATTATTTTCACAGCCGATCAACGTCAATTTCCTCTTTACATACATAATTAGTTTCGCCGGTGCAATTGAGTGTCCTGCTAGTCCGGGTAGTTAATTGGTCAAATAAATCCTACACCACTCGCTCCAATACTTTATCCACGCGTCCACGCCGAAATTAATGAACGATGCCGTACGTCGGGATGCCCCCTGACCGTTGCGGACAAATTTATTACATGATTTCAACGTCTGCTACGCAGATAACTCGAACCGCGTCGGACTCTTTCAAATGACCCAATAGAAGTCGGCTGCGACCAAAGGGTTAGCTTTTGCTGCTCTAGAGTATTGACGGATATACTCGACGACATACGTGATGAGAGAGAATGCGGTGTAACGAACCGGAACGAGTCGCATTGTCGTCGGGTAGGAAAGAGGAGACGGCCGCATAAAGTCCGAGGACAGACGGGAAATAGTAAAGTTTGAAACCGTTTTCGGGATAGACGCGGGTCGGCGGCGATGGCGTGGACAAAGTGTAATCATACAACTGTAACCGTCTCTCCTATCGATTCCCTCCCGCCCTGTCCGGTCTTCAAAGCCTCAAGTCCAGTGTTCACGTAACAGCAGCAGCCGGCGGCCGTTACGTAAGAACACGGTAGACAATAAAACGTTTTTACGAACGCAACCGGAATACTAGCGATGGTTTCCCAGAGATCTATAATATCGTCGTCACGGTAATATTGCCGTTGATGGTTCAGAATGATTTTTCTGCGGCTAACCCCGTCGACGTACGGCAACGATAAGTATACTAGGTAGGTACACGAAGAAACTTAAACGGTCGAAAATTTATTGTGTTTCGACGGAAACGCTTTGGTTCATCAAATCAAATCGGTTATTTTAGTCGGAGAAAAACACAACTATTTTTCTTTTTCGACCGCGACTAACCGTTAACGATGAGAGGGGTTTTACATAGATCATAATTCTGAATTCGTATTCAGTACCTGAAACCCACGCCGCGTCCGTTCTGGACACTATACTCAAGTTCGAGGATCCGGGTCTAGCAAATCTCTCGGAATTCCGAATTTTTAACGGGGGAACATATTGGGTTGCACAAAAAGAAATCTATACTTATCGGACCGATCGCAGATTATGCGGGCTGCACGGCTATTCTATAAACTTTATAGTCAGACTTTTGGTGTCGTACTCCTATCGGTTGTTCGCTTTTGGTATCTCTAGCTTCTATCGTATAATATATTAACAGTATATTTTTAATCATTTACTTGACGGACGCGCCGGTGGTAGTGTTGGTGGTGGTGGTAGTGGTGTCAGTGGTGTTGCAACAGTACGATGGAGTGCCGGTTTTGAGGACGATGCGAAGAGAGTGATGCTGCGTTGTAGTGTCGTGTCGACGCCAGAGATCATGTCGCGTCGCCGGGCTGGTGACCCGCACAATCGACCATAACAACAAGCCCACGACGACGGCGGTCCGCTGGCCGCACGCGACGATGCCGTACCACGGTGCGGGTTGCTACGCGGCGTCCCATAATATCAGTGCGGATGGTGGCGTATCGCGGCCGACCACCGTGTCGTCGCCGCCGCAGTACTTGCCGCCGGAACAGACGCCGTCGCAGCCGTCATCCCGACGGCGTGGCTGTCCACGACGGAACCGATTGCGAACTCGACAAGCGCGAAACGAACGACGATTTTTATATCTCGTCGAACGGAACCAAAAAAAAAAATCGACTATTTTATGTAATTAAAAATGTATTTTTTTTCAATAACCGCGCGGCACTGCGGCAAAATCTATAGGCACACACACTGCCGACACTGTCGTACTGCACTCTTGTAGACACGCGCGATCACATAAACACAATGACATTCGCACACGCAAAACCTATGGGGGCGCGACCGTTTGCGAGACTGCTCTCCGTGTGCGGCGGCCGAGGTCCGGGTGATCGCACCTAGTGGCGGCGCGAGAGGGCGCCGGCAGTGGCCATCTTTTGCCGCCACCGCCGCCGCCGCCGCCCGATCGATAGGACGCGCGCGTGAAGCTCCGCAGCTTCCCCCTAAAATCCCCCGGCCGTACCCCATCTCGGTCCGCGACCCCCTCGTTCATGGCACCCCCCCTGGTCGCACACGCCCGTGGTTTTTATTTATACTGCCGGCACGTCAGTTACGGGGGGACGCGACCGGCGGTGAGGTTGCGTTGATAGTAGGAGTGACTGGGTTGTAAAACGGTATAGAAGAGGAGGAGAAGGTACGCTGTACGTACGGGACCGCACAGTATTTTATCGGCCGACAGCGAAAAAGGAGCGGCTGGAGTGGTGGGATGGGTGTAGGACGCGCAAAAAAAAAATCTCTAATAGATAATGTGTTCACTTTCTTCTGTCTCTCTCCCTCCCTTCTTTGACCGCAAGTCCGCCACCGTACGGCCCCTACAATCGCGATGATCTAGATAACCATCCAGAAATATCCGAATACATAATATATTTTGTATGCTACGATCTGACCACATAGTTTGGACGGTTCACGTGTACACGCGCGTTTTCCGCACGACTAATTCGAACGTTTTCTTTAGAAACGGCTTTTCGCAGAACAGAGTAAAGTTCCAAAAACGGACGATTTCGTCCTAAACGAAACCTCGGTGGTTTATTATTATTAATATTTATTTATTATTTTTTTGCATCGCTCGGAGATAATATAATATTACGTTCTTCCTGAAATACTCGAGGAAAATCCGAAATATTCCAATGCGCTACGGATAAAAGTTTAAATTTACTCGGAAGAAAACTTCCAAGTGTGTTTTATACACTTTTTAAGCAGAGACGCCGCCGCCGCGCGGTACGTGAGCGTAACGGCCTATCCACAGAAATAGCACATGGCCTCTCCATTAGTCTTCTTTTGGAATCTGCGCTGCAGGTGGTATTAGCACTGTCGACTTGTGGGTTCTTATTCAAATCATTTCCTAGCGTGCCACAATTTGATTGATTTTCAACGAACGAGAGATCCACCAAATGTCGTAAGCCCGTGGAGCGGAGAAGCGGAATATACAATAGCCTGCAATTTGAAATTTTTAATACTACTCAACAGTGATGTGCTCGTCTTTAACTTGTTTCGGTCCAAATAAAATCTGATACAGTTAACGGTTCCTCGAAGTCGGACCGATCGTTGCTTACCGTTTTGTACCACATAAAGTTTAACCCTTGAATGCTTAATTTTAATTTTAATTTTATAATATACAATTTTTTCTTGTATAGAATGAATTATCAGGAATTTGGGAAAACAAGTATAAATCTAAAATAAAATACGTTTAAACGCAACTTCAATTATATTTATTTTTTCTAACAAAATACAATTATTTAAAAAACTTTTGCTTTTTTGCTACATTGGGCACTGAAGGGTTGAGCCTATCTGACTGTATTTTTACAATCATAGTTATATTGTCAATCCTAAAGACAATACTATTTGCAATTTGACCGTGGCAACGAACTTGAAACGAAATTTGTATTTTTTTTTGCTAACGTTAAATGCGCGCTATGGAAAGTATTATAATATAATATAATTTATACACTTTGCTCGGCGTCTATATTTATTGCCTACAGTTGAACGACGCGGTTTTTTCGGAAACTGACGGTTAATACTTCAACGCAAGAGTTAATACCCTTAAGCCTGAGAAAATATTAGCTTAACATTTATTACAATTTACAATAATTCACCTCGTCGACAAAAATCAATATTGACGCGCACGCACACATAATATATTATTATATGTATATCGTCCTTAATCGTTGGCGTCTGCGACGTTTACTCTAAATACGCGTCATCTTTATAGTGCATGCACCTTGCTATTTGCTCAACCTTGGATGTAATAATAATATTTGCATGTCCCATTTTTATCGTTCGTCAATATTTGTGCGCCGCCTTAAAATAACCACGTGTGTTCTGCCACGAATGAATGAACCGATTCGAAATGATTATATCGGTGCGCCATAAAGTTGACTAATAAGCCAATAAAAAGTCGTGTTTTTGATCAATCGGTTTTCGGACAATGACACTATTGTTGAGCAGTGTGGTTGTGTCGTTTCGTCTGAAACGTGTATAGTTTAGTTTATGTTTGTTATCTTTTTTTTGTCCATTTATCCAGTCGGGTCGAGTAATTGAAAACGAACGAAACAAATGTTTGTTTTTATATTTTGCATTTAATGTATGGCCATGTCTAACCGTGTTAAATGTTTGGACAAGTTAAATTAAGTACTGTATAATATATTATTAAATTCTCAGTTACAAGAGTAATCGTTTAAATGCATATTCGTTTATAAGAAATTAGGCGGCGAGCACAACAATGGCCTAACCCAGAAAAACTAAAAAGTAATATAATTTTAAAGTTTTTTTATACACTGTACTCGGTGCAATAAATATTTTCCAAAGTGCTGTCAACTAGTAAAAAAACCCAGTGTTGCATTTAAGTATTTTTAATTCTAAAAAAAATGATAGTATTATCTCCATTTTTTAATTTGTTTGGGTTAGGCCGTTGTTGCACTTTGAACAGCATGATTAAAAATAGGCAATGCGATAGAGTTTTGTCCACAGACTTAAAAAAAAACTATGTAATAGTGCTGAGTTGTCAATCTTGGGTTACTTTGTGCGCTTTTATTGGCCGTCACTATTTCTAAATACTTTCCTAACTCTGGTTAATTAACTCAGAGCGCTTCTTATCGGTCCTACCTACCGAACCAGCTAAGTGCTTGATTAGGTATTATTCCGAATTCCGATTATGTTACAGAGGCAAAAATAGAATACATTTTCTGTGGGTGAGTCGCAGTTTCAACTTCACGCCACTGATTCTCGTTAAAGTCATTCGAATTCAACAATTAGAACAAAATTATGCGTACATTAACACTAAATATTACCAGTATTATATTATGTAGGTCGGTGTTTGTAAACAAATTAATCAATTATCTACTATAAAATTACATTAAGAACAAGCAATTGTAGCACCGTTATAATGAATATTATCTTCTGAAAAAGTTGTATTTGTGACACGACTTTTTCACAAAACCCGTCCAAGTAAAACTATACGTACCTAAACTGAAAATTGTTTTTAAGCTAATTATTGAATTTTATTACTCGTATATTATCTTTTCAGATCAATCTTTATTGACTTTTTATTTTATATTTTAACGCGAGATGACGTTTTTCCTAAGATAAAAAAATACTTGTGTAAAAATCATACATTTGTTTATTAACATGCAGTTGTCACCATAAAGTGCCGTTCAACGGCTATACTATTATATATATATATACATAGTAATTGAATTATTTTCTATAACTTTATAATGGGTTTTATTAATGAACGGTATTAGGTATGTAACAGTGATCGCGTTCGAAAACTTTAGTGTTGCACCCGAACATTTATCATCGGATTCGACTGGCGTTTGCGAGATAATAACATGTGGAATATATTATTATATTTATAGATATTATAATTTAAGGGCAACAGTACGCGACGGCGGCGAAAACAAATTTCGTTACACGCGCGTTTCGCTTAAACTCACATCGATATATTCTAATGAAGACGAATCGTTGTATATATTTTCTAAGGCGGCGGCAGTAAACTTTTTGGGCTCGTTTTCTTAAAACGCCGACAACAAAGTTACCCGGTCTCGTCGTTAGCAAGAAAAGTCCGTGATTTCCATACAGCAGTACTAATTTCACTAGTCACTGCGAAAAACCTCAAAGACAAACCCATACAAAACATTATATTCATATTATTATACATATAAGTACGGCGCGGCGCGGCACGTACTAGAATAATTTCGTACAATATGTAACGGTGGAAACACATAACGGCAACTTCATTAAAGTGGGACTTAAGGCCGACACTCGAAATACTTCGAAATTAACATAAAATCCAAGTGTTAACTATTCCACTTGAGCGGATAGTGTAATTTTGAAGATGTCCATCTCTGTAAGTCAGGTTGGGTACAATAACATGTTTGGTTTTGTAGGCAAATTAATACCACCTACATATATCATACTATATATTAAAATAAGCGTCTTACGTTAAACTGATCACCCTGTATACAAATAGTTTCCTATAACGTTAAAAATAACATAAAATTGAATTGAATTTTAATTTTAATTCAACTAGTTATTTTGGTTTTGTTTTTGAATAAACTTAAAACTATATTATCCCTACAGCGAAAAAAACTGTTTATATTTTAACATAAATAGTACTATATACACATAGTTACTTATATTAATTTGTGTTGTCTAGAAGCTAAATAATTTTTTCTATTAGACAAAAATGTATAATTATTTCAAACAAAAACATACAAGGTTCATTATTTACGTATAAAAATAGCACTTAGAATGCTTAGATTCCTACATCTAAAACTGTGCCAACATGATTATGATTTTTTGTTTAACTTTAAGTAGGTTGCTATCACAACAGCCCCATAAAATATATGCCTCTCCTTAAAAAAATATGGATAAGAAACCATTTCACATTTTCAGTACTTACAACGTATTTAGCTTTAAGTATTTTTTATACACGTTTTTATTTGTGAAAATTTATATTTGCTAATTACTTTCGAACAGTTCCGAATTTAAATTAGAATATAAATATTTTAAACATAAATTATTGTATATTATTAATCGTTCTTATTTAATTTGTATGCATTACAACACTAGTGAAAATTATTACCTATATTATATGCTTTTCCAAGGAATACTTATTCCAATATCCTCGGAAGTCAAATATCTTGGTGTCACACTCGACAAACGATTAACTTGGGGCTCCCACATTAAATCTAAAAGAAAAATTCTGAACAGCAGACTCCATTTACTACGTCCAATCCTCAAATCAAAATTACCTTTCCACACTAAAATTATTATATACAAATCCCT